GCTTTATTCTTACGGATTCACCCGATTCCGATTCGGATCGCCGATTCGCAGATCCGGATCGGTTTTTGGAAAGCCCGATCCGGGTCACCGATCCGGTTTTTAAACCATTGGTTGAAAGCATAAAAAAGATAATAATAAAAAATCTGCTAAAATATAAAAAACATATAAAGAATAATTAAAACAAAACACATTCAAATGAAGTAGAAAATTAATGAAAAACTAGACTTTAATGAATCGATTTTTTAATTAAAGTGAGTATTAATGATATATTTTCTTTAATCTTTACCATAATGTAAAGAATATTAAACAATGTATTACAAACTAAATTCCTTATTTTTGAGAATTTATATGCATTTTTTGATATATTTTTTTTAAATACCGATCGATCACCAAAACCACCAAAAACTAGAACCGGCTACTGGCCACTTCTTATCTAACTGGGCGGTTAGTGGTTAGATCACCTACTTTTTTCTAAAAATGTTTTGTCCATTGATAAACTTATAGGTAATTTTACCTATAGTTTTTTAATTTTATTCAAAGCAATTTGTTGAATATCACATATTTTTAACAAAAAATAAGTAAAAAACTTAAAATCACAAAAAAAACTAAGTAATTAAATAAATTGTATACAATACAAGACACTTACCAAAAAGCTAATAAAATAATATTATACAAAATATATTAGTTTCAGATAAAATATCCTACTCTTGACAAGATAAACAATCTTCCTTTACGTAACTATGTTTGATAGGCTAGACCCAATGTACCAATTGGTCCCACAGGACCACCTAATCCTTTTCATATTTAACATTGTATCCCCGTATAGGCTCGATGTGATGACCTGTAACCATCGGAAGGATCTTGACCTTGGTTTTGCAGGAGGGTCGGAGGGAGAGAGGGAAGGAATAGGGTTTAGGCAACCGCCTCAACATAACGTTCCCCCTGTATTCCAACCGTTACCACCGTTAACATCACACGGAGAGAGAGATTGGGCAATTATTTTATCTTAAGATTGAATAAAACTAGGGGACGGACTAGCCCAAAGGGCCACACTTGTACGCTTTCCCATGAAAATGTAACAACCACTCACTTTGGGCTGAGAATTTACTCAATCCAAAGCTTTTACTCGAATTTTAGATCTTATTCGGATTCAGGTATGGATCCGAAAATTCAAATCCAAATCCATAATTTAGATCTGAATAAAAATCTAGATCAGATCGAGTATAAGTGGATCCAATCCGGATCCAACCCGAATCCAACCAAGTGTTTTTTAAAAGTATTTTTTATTTTATATATATACATAAAGGGTACGGTTTGAATAGAGCCTAAGCTCTAAACAAAAAAATTAGAGCCTACCTTTAAATAATGTCAAGAAATGTGGTTTCAATACTGAAAATCTTTGCGATAGCCTTAAAATATATTTTCATCTTTATTTATAAAGTTTAAAGCTTCAAAAATGGTGTAGATCAACAGATCTATGAAAACTTGAAAATATTAAAAATTAATGGTCAAAAAATGCATTACAAAATACATTATGTCCAAAACTTGAAATCATTTTTTTTCTCATGTACATGCATCTTGATATCGAGATGATCAATTTGAGGATTTTTGGGCATCAAAACAATCTCATCTAGTGAAATTTTTGCGATAGGCTCGAATGTGATTGTTTAGAGCCTTAGCTCTATATAAATTTCTCCCATACTTAAATAAGTTATAATTTACATATATAACATGGGATTATCTATAAAGAGATCCCTTATCTTTTGTACATGAAAGTCACAATTATTCTCGCTCATTAGATGTCAAATTGGATGAATTAGGATGAATCACGAAGCCCAACAATATTTTTTTTTGAAACTTTATGTCTAATCAATGACACTCTTACAACCACTCATTTTGAACTCTAAGAAACAAGAATGATTGTGACATTCTAATACAAAGGTAAATAGTCCTTAGGTAGACATTCCCATAAAATATATATAACAATTTTAAATTTTAGAAGATCTTCCCCACCTTATATTAATAGAAGATTAACGGTGAGGATTGGATCCTCACGTCTCTCTCTCTCAACCCCCTAATTCAAGTTTCTATGTAAAACCATTAATTCCTTCTCTCCTCTTCTCCGTCTCCCGCACTCCGGCTTCTCAAAGCAACCATGGTGAGCCCCTTTCTCTCTCATCCATCCACTTCAACACCATGATACCGCCATGGCCTTAGCATCAAGAGCCCCTTTCTCTCTCATCTCAGCCACCTCAACCCCATGAAAACCAAGGCCCCTATAATAATAGTCTGATGAAAAGGGCAGTCAAATATGCAGAGGCCCCCAAAGAGGAGGGATCCACCATAAACTCTCTCTCTCTCTCTCTTTCTCTCTCTCTCTCTAGTGCTCTTTCTTTCTCATCAAAGACACCAAACTCTCTTTGTTCTATACTCTTTTCTCTCTCATCAAAGACGCCAACCACTCTCTCTCCGGTGCTCTTTCTTTCTCTCTCATCAAAGATGAGAAGAGCGACTCGCACAACCTCGAACCCCAAAAGATGAATGCCGTCTTCTGGTATTTCCTAATTCCGGACCTTGTTCATGCCAGAAAGCACCATGTTTTTCCCCCCTTTTGGCTCCTGGTCTGCCCCCTCAAATACCCAACATGTCCCCATTTTCTGCTCCTGAATCCAAGGCAGTTGTTCCATTTGATAACCATGAATTCTCTCTCTTTCTCTCTCTCTCTACCCTTTACCTCTGCGTCACTTCCATTTTGCATCTTTCTGTTTCTCTCACTATTACTCTGTATCTTGTCTCTCTCAATGTCAATCTGTTTCTCTTTCTCTATGGTGTTCTTGATTGTTTATAGTACATTTTCTGAGGTTTTAATGGAACCATTCTTTTTGAAAGAAAGCTTGCAGACTGGAGTCGTTGGGGACCAACACCATCGCTATCTAGGAAGAAAATGGGTTTTATTTACTACAAGAGAGGTGACATTTTGTGGAGAGAGAGGGAGATTTGAATCTGAAGAGAAAGGAGGCATTTTGCGGGGAGAGAATATTATATTACAACTTTTCGAGAGGTTAGAATTTGAGAGAGATTTGAAAGAGAGAGGTGGACGTATACAACTCGAGATCAAGAGAGATATTTTGGGGGCCAAGAGTTAAGTGGATTAATCCGGATCCAGATTCAGATCCTATATATAATTTTGGATTTCGACCCAGATCCGAATATTCAGGATCTGATCGGATCCAGATCCATATCCAAATCCGATTATACTATTCAGATCCAGATCCAGATCCAGATCTAGGTGGATCCTGACCAGATTCGAAAAATCCACACCCCTATAATAACTAGGTTGAATAGAGTAAGAACCATTATCATTGGATAAACACAAAACACACATGCAAAATGCAGCCAAAGCACAAGCACACATGCGCACAGGCATTCTTGGACAGAAAATCAAACCCGACCTGCATGACTAAACCAAACATGGCCATGATAGCATACAAGAATGATGCATTCATGTTCCCACATGCATGCCATTTCGCATGGCTGTGAATCTTGGAGGCTCAGGATATGGATTCTTTCTGATAATTTTCGACCTTAGGCCTGATGATGAGAAGTCACACATGCCTTCGCAGTTGATCTGCAACTTCAAAATTGGAGCTTTTGATGCTCTTAAGTGAGTAGAAACCCTGCAACCCAAAGTAAACAAGATCAAAGTTGTGAGCACTCTCACTTTTACATATGAAGTAAAAACTCAGTGCTCTTTTCCTTGAGGGAAAATATCATCCTAATTAACATTCTAGTACCTCAAAATATTTCCAAAATGCAAGGTTTGGAACCTAAAACAGAGGCCTTAAGTAATTTGACCAACTTAAAAAGTCCTGCCAAATAGTAGTACCATGCCCCTACTCGATGGGTTCCCCATCTTGAAATAGCCTCTTTGGACATTTTTTTAAATTCAATAGGAGGTATCTGAGTGAAATGAAATTTAAAAAATAAATTTTTTAATATCAATTTGAACCTTTTCACCCAATTAGTGTTTTTTTGAGTGGTTTTGACCCCCTTAAATGATATTTTTCCCTTCTCTTTTAGGAAATTTCAAGTGCTCACCTTCTCAAAACTGAGTTACATTCTGTTCATTCGCAAGCTTCTCTCACCTTGGCGAGGAGTTCTTTCCAAATCAGAGATTAGCTGGGGCATGGTCATGCCCCCAGAGACAATGATTTCTGCTTTTAGATCAAGATTAAGAAAACAAACAAATATCATTGTCAGTTCCTTTTATTTACTTTATTTTTTGATGAGTTACCTATATTTTAAAGAGCATGTACACTATGCTCCCTCGGAAGCATAGTTTACTTCCCCACTCCCTCAGCCAGAAGACGTACTTGGAGGGGTTTGTTCAAAATGAATTTTTGCAATATCTCAGTTCCCTTTTATTTACTTTCTTTTTTGATGAGTTACCTATATTTTAAGAGCATGTATACTTTGCTCCCTAGGAAGTACAGTTTACTTCTACTCCCCTCTGTCAAAGACTTTACTTGGAGGGGTTTTTTCAATATGAAATTTTGGGGACCATTTAAGAACTACTAGATGATTATTTTTCAAAAAAATTAAAAAATAAAATTGAACGTTGAGTTTTCTAATGCTATCACAACTAAAAATTGAATGGTCTCTGTTCAATCTCAAGATATTATTTTTTCGAGTGCATAGATGATACAATTAAGTTTTTTTCTTTTTTTTTAAGTTAATCTATAGATTGAAGAGGTTACATCTCCAAATTTTGGGGTCCTAAAACTAATTCCAGGTGGGGTTTTACCCGAGGGAGTAAATGGACATTCTAGTTCCATAGGTGTGGAATATCTTTTGGCTATTTTAATATGCAACATACCATTCTTTTATTCTTTTTTCTTCCAAACAAAGAAATTGACTGAATCTACAGCATTCCTTTTCACAAATTAACAAGAAGCCAAAAGATTTCATGCTTCTGAGGGAGTATATTGTCCATTTCTCCCTCAGGTAAAACCCTATCTAGGAATATTTTTAGGGAAAAGTTTACAAGGTTGCAACCTTAAAATGTAGAATTACAGATGCACCTCAAAAATCCATCGGAAAAGGTTGTTTTAATGTTGAAAGACCCTCTAATTGATCATCTCAACATCGAGATGTATGAACGTGTAAAAAAAAGATTTTGAGTCCCAAAAGTAGTACATCTTACAACACATAATCTAGATCGTCCATTTTCAAGATTTTCACATGTTTATAGATCTACATGATTTTAACCATTTTTGAGTTTAAAATTTTAAAATTAGATATGAAAATACATTTTTAAAATATCTTATGAATTTTTTACACCAAAATTACATGTTATAATAAAATTTGGAGGTGCATCTTAATTGGATTGTTTAAGGTTGCAACCTTATTGGAACCGCATCCATATGTTTAAGAACCCAAATTTTGAAGATGTAACTTCTTCAACGCTATATGTTGTAATCAATTTAAAAAATAAATAAATCAAAATTGCACTCTCTATGCGCTTAAAAAAAGTAATGCCTCAATGGAAAACCATCCAATTTTTTAAGGTTGGGATCAAAGTGAGAAAACTCAAAATTCAAAATTTTTCTTTGGGTGTGGTTTGTATAGAGCCTAGGCTATAAACAATCAAATTAGAGCCTACCTTCAAATAGTATCGAGAAATGCGATTTCAACATTGAAAATCTTAGTGATAGTCTTAAAATATATTTTCATTGTTATTTATAAAGTTAAAGGGCCAGTTTGGAAGTCAAATAAATTAATTTCACATTGAAAAAAATCGTAAGTTTTTTCATCTTTAATTAAAAAACATTGCCATCCTTTTTTATTATTATGTTGGACTATTTGGATGGAGTTAACATGCTAAAAGCAAAGTCGCATTTTACCCTTCCAAAATTCTCTTGCCAATCCAAAAGGTTTTCTCGTCTCTCACAGCAATAAAATTTTTGCTTCCATACAATAAGCAAACCTACAACCCAAGCTTTCCCTTATTCGCGAAGAGAAGGGGTTTCCTATGGGTGTGGTATGAACGAAAAGGCTCGCCTTTTGTAGAGAGAGAAAAGTCATTGGCCTTAAAAAAAACGCCGCATAGGGCTGCCATGGATGAGGCTTGAGCAACCCGAGCTTCTCCTTATTCATGAAGAAAATAGGCTTCCCATGGGTGCAATATGAGAGAAAAGACTTGCTTTTGTAGAAAGAGAAAGGGTTTTGGCTTTACAAAGATGTTGTCTAGGGCTGCCATGGATGGCGCTTGAGCTTCTTTGGTTTTATGCAACCCGAGCTTCTCCTTATTCATGAAGAGAAGGGTTTCCCATGGGTGTGGTATGAGAGAAAAGGCTTGTCTTTTGTAGAGAGAGAAATGGCCTTGGCTTTACAAAAACGCTGCCTAGAGGGTTTGAGCTTCTCTAGGTTTTTTTAGAGAGAGAAAATGAAAATGCTCTGTATATTCAAAGAGAGTAGATTTGGGGTTTTTGAAGTTTCACGGAGTTGTTGAGTCTTGGGTTGAAGTTTGCTCGGGGATGAGAGAGCTGCACTTTCATCAAAAAAAAATTCAAGTCTTATTTGAATTTTTTTTTACAGTAACTTTTGCCTTGACACTGCAATATTTTTTATTTCAATCTAAAATTCTAACAAAATCTTGAAGTTGTCCAAACGGTTCAAATCTGTTTCACAAAATTTTTTAATTGCAATCCAAAAATATTGCAATTTTGGGTACATCCAAACTGGCACTAAAGCTTAAAAAATAGTGTCTATCAAAAAATCTATGAAAACTTGAAAATCTTGAAAATTGACGGTCCAAAAAAGCATTACAAAATACACTATTTCCAAAACTTGAAATCCATTTTTTTTCATGTCCATGCATCTTGATGTCGAGATGATCAATCTGAGGATATTTGAGCATGAAAACAATCTATTCTAGTGAAAATTTTGGGGTAGGCTCTAATTTGATTGATTAGAGCCTCGGCTCTATATAAACTTTTCCCTTTTTCTGTTGAATATAATCATCTAATGATTTTTAGGTGGTTCCCAAAATTCCAGATCAAACAAATCTTCCCAGGTTAGGTTAGTGTTCTACCCGAGGGAGTAAGTGTAGAGTATATGCCCCCGCAGGAGCATCGTATATATATGCTCTAAAAGAAAAGCAACGGCATTCAAGTGTCCATCAAGATAGAATGAAAAAGACATGGAGTATGAAGTTGGTGCTGATGCCACAAAACGAAAAAAAATGTTTATTTTGAAAAACAACCACACGAACACATACCTATGCCTTCTCTAATAGACAGATTAGGCCTGATGATCTCCTCGGAGTTGACAAGAAAAATATCACCAATATATAGATGGTTTGTGGGAACATAAACGCTACATAGTTCTTCATCTCCATTGTCTCTCTGGGCTCAGGTAACAAGAAATCAAACTCTAACAACAGGAGAACAGATGATGACATAGATATACGACTCCATATTCTTTTATGCCTCCCACTTTTTGAGGCAAGCAAAACAACTACCGAGACAAATAAATGTATTTTACTGAAGGGAAAATGCAAAACAGACTTATTATTTGGATAGCCAGCAAAATCTGAAAATCATGCTTTCTGAAAATAACGTTTTACAAAAAAGAAAAAACAAATGATAATGTCTGGTAGCAATGCATTGAGTTTTGTAGTCACAATGATGAGGATATTAAACCTTGCCTGTGACATAGACACATTACAAAACCAACTTATGACCTAGTTTTGTGCCTTTTATAAAGGTGGCGGGGTATACGTATCCCTAAAGCCAAGAGTGCAGACATTCATGCTCCTCCACCCTTTCTCCAATATAAAACAATGACTACTTTTTTATATAAGTTTCTACGATGAAGAGCCAATTCTCTTAAATGAGGTTATTCTCATTATATGGTATTTCTGTAGTTTATTGTGCATATCTAATCCTTCATAAACTCTATAATGGGTTTAGTCCTAATAGCCCAGGTCCTTTTCTTGTTCTATCACATTTATTGATGATCAATATCTGATCCTTGAGTATGTGCATCAGTTATCATGTTCATTGCCTAGCCATGCAGGCATCTTGCTTTTGATTCAGAGTCAAACAAGAATTGACATAAAGTACTAAAAAAAAATAGCAGTTTCTCAATTATTAATTATATGAAGAAATAGAAGAAGACAATAAAACGGCGGTTTAATTCACTGATAACTGCAGGGCACAAATCAATGGAAGCATAAACAGTCAAAAGAAAACTTCTCGAGGTTATGCCTTAGAAGTACCTGAAGGACAAGTGAAGAGGTAATGAAACCGAATGCATATTCACCAATGCGTGGGTGGCGTATTATTGCAACCTCTTTAAAAGCCATGCTGTTATGATCTGCAAATAGGCATGTCATACACACCCATTAACCATGGATCATGTTTCCAAAAGCCTACTCACAAGAATAATATAGTAAAATCTGCATGAAATAATCAATTAACATAATCACTTTGTTTTTATTAGCCAGAATTTATTCACAATCCCTATAACACAATAGGTTAAATCAATATGAATTACGTACAAGGTGTACTATTAGAACTCCCCAAAATTCAATAAGAAGGCACTAGATGAATCGACATACTTTTGCCCACATTCAAGCCAGATTCAAGGAAAACGAGAAGGGCATGTAAAATTTGACCATAAAGTATTTCTGTGCCACATGATTCCAACTATTATTTCTTTTTCCTTTTTTTTGGCATACAATTGGAATAGATTCTTTAAACCCATAAACCACAGCAACCCTCCGAATCTCCTGAAAGTCTGAGGTGTTACACCAAAAAAAAAAAGACTTGAGAGAGAAAGACAGTAAGCACCATATCATTCCTCCAAGTTTCCAAAGCAGGCACATACTAAGCTAAAGCACCATATCATTCCTCCAAGTTTCCAAAGCAGGCACATACTAAGCTAACTTACCACCCGAAAAATGAGCAATTCATTCCATCTCCGAGATCAATAGGGCGGTCAATGAGCTACAACTCGTTGTGGTATCACACGAAGGCATCACAAGAAGGCCTCTTCTCCACCGGAACACATGTAAAATGAGGAAAGGCATTAGAGCCAGCCTAGTGGCAAGGGCCAACCTTAGCACATCAAGTAACTCAATAATGACCTCAAGTCAGGATCTGTTATACGTCTTCAATGTCAAAATGCACCTAAAAAGAACTGCAACGATGAAAAGCCAAAATCCATCTTTCCATAATAGATCCTCCAATCCCATGGACAATTCAATCCCATGAGAATTGTGAGCATATGCCGCAAAGGGTTTCCTTTATGTCTAAAAAAATCAATGTCGCCTTTGTTTGGGGGTATTTTCTGAGACATTCAAATTAACTAAGATATGTTCACATAGACCTTGATGAAGAAACCCATGATAATTTTTTCCAAATGGTCCAGAATTTTGGCAAGGCCTTTGAAACGGTCAATAAAACTTGACGTGGAGAATCAACTGATTTTTTGGGTGAAAGAAAATCAGCAGGTTTGGATGAAAGATAGGGCTTTTGACAAGTCTGCCGTGATCTGAATAGTGTTCCATATAGACTTGACAAATTGGGCCAAATGATTCACAAAGATGGTGGAGCGAAGGAGATCAAAAAAAATAATTCAAAACTAGGGAAATCCTTATCTGTTGCAATTTGCAGCAGACTGCTGAAACAATCTTCAACCTGGATTCAAATAATGACCTCCAATCAAAACTAATTCTTTTATGTGAACAGAAGAATGTTGTGGAATCTTACATAGAAAATTTTATGCAATTTTGATGCATTAAGGGTTTAATAAATACAAAACAAGTGCTCACCTGTTGCAGTTTGCAGTAGACAGCGGAGACAAAGCTCACCACAAGCTCAAATGGGTATGGTTAATGACGTCCGATCAAGAATAACTTTTTATTTGGATAGAGGAATATCTTGGGGATCTTCAATAAAAATCTCATAAATTTTGGAAATGTATAGGTCGTCCAAATAAACTCAGAAGGTAGTCAGTTTCAGGTTGCAAACTGCAGTATGTGAAGAACAGCTCGAAGTAAACTCGATTGAACCGAGATTCTGACACTCAAAAATGCTGATAATTTTTATAAAGGTGATGAAATGTCTTACTATGTTTTTGTCAATATTTCATGAATTTTGGGCACATCTCAGGGACCCAAATAAATCCCATTTGTAGCACTCTCTGCTGCTCACAGCAGACTCTGTTTACGAGTATTGAGGTCTCAACGCACACATACAAGGACCGATTTATTGAGGTTCTACCTCATTTAAAGAAGTTATTACCACCTCAAGTTTCCTCTATGGATGAACCTCGTTCCTTTATCCCAAAACTGCCAGAGCTTTTTTGGTTTGATAATGGAGATTGAGAAGGATTATTCCAAGTTACTCTTTCAAAAAACGAGGGATTGTTCCAAGTTTGCAGAGACTTCCGAAACTCCTTCCTCAATTTCGATATTATCCACCAATCTAGGCCGAAGGCCCACAGCAACCCTTTACGCTTATACCTTGTGTGGTCATTGAATCCTCCTTGAAACCAGAATGTGTAGGCCTCTGTGACCTCCTTTGGAAGGCCTGAATGAGTCTGAGCAGCTGAGGATCCTCTAAGAAGAAGGTACCAGTGTCGCCAGAGTCCTCCAATTAGTTCGTTTCTTGGTTCTCTGATTGACAGTCACTCATGGTGCCCACCCGCCGTGCTGCTGGGAATGGGAGGCCATTATGACTTCGTATCTTCCCCTGATCCGGCTACCTGCACTAGTTCTAGGGCCCATTTCCTCCTTTGGCTGCCTGGCTCTGATTTGCATCTGCTGGAGCTTAGTTTTAAGGGCTGAGATATCTTTTAAGAGCTTTCTTCTTTAAGGAAGGTGAGAGAACAATTGACTATCTTTATTGATTTTCTCTCCTGCCGACCTACAAGGCCCACACCCAACTTCTGGTTGATTGCATTCAACATGGTGTTGGTCCAAATGAGCTGTTGGTGGACTTGGCCTTGTGCCTCTTACCTTGGCCCCTGTGTCACAAATAGGGGTATTGCCTGCCTCGTCTCTTCCCCCATCTAGTTTTTGGGGTTCAAATGGGAGAAAAGTGGAAGTCCATGATGACCGAGTCACAACTCACTACCCCTACTCTCCTTCCATAGATCAAGCCTAATCAAGAAAAGTCATGTCCCCTCCTGAGGGCTTTTATCCAGGTGCGCCTTAGATGGTTCTTTCTTCTTCAGTGAAATCCTTCACGAATTTGACTTGTCTAGGATCGCAAAGAAGTTCCTCATAGTTGGTAGTGATGGCCCCGATAATCACAAGGGCTTCCCACCTCCAAACTTCCTCAGGTTAATAACATATTAGTAAAAACAAATTCACAAACGTGCACATGCGCATGCCTTTTAAGGCATGCACTAATCTTTTATTAATAACAAGTTGATTTTGTCTAAAAAAGTAATAAATGCAACATGTGCATTTATAAATTGCTAGGTTATTAAGTAATATATATTTCAAATGTATTCATATGTTGCATTAATGGTGCGGTGATTATCCCTTGTGGTGACTACAAATGACCCACAGTTCAAAACTTTAGGAATGAAATAGCATTTTAATTGCATAGTGATACTTTGTGTCTAAAATTCAGACACGTCTGTAAAAATGTTGACACGCCGTGTTGCCAGAATGGCTTTCCCAACACTAACAAAGTGTCATACGCGTATCAGGGCAGGTTGACATATGTCCAAGTGTCAACATGTGTCGATCGCAACACAAGGGGAGAAGTGGAGTGTCTATGCAACACTGTGTGTGTGTAAGAAACTAGGACTTTTTCACGAAATATTCATTATTTCAAGAAAGCCTTGTTGCCATGGGCCTCTTTCTTAGTTAGGAACTTCTAAATTTCTATATGCAATCAACTATTATGGAAGACTCACACTGGTACATCTTTCTCAAGTTCTATGTTTATCTCTGCATATTAGATTATAAATGACTTGTATGCTCTTTTAAAGAGGCTTATCTTGGAGTTGGGACATGCCAGATCTCATCCATGTTCAGGTTTGGTGTTGGAATGTGGGTTTTATATTTCCCATCACTCCTATCTTTCACTCCAAATTTCCTAAAATCTCTATCGCTCTTTCTCCCTCTAAACACATTCCTTAAATCTATAAAACTTAATTTGTAACCTAAATCTTATCCATCTCTCCCTAGAAATCTCTTTTACGTTTTATTCAAATTATGATGTATAGAAGAGATATATGGATTATAAAAATAAGAGCAAGCAAACTATAAAATAATAATAATAATAATAATAATAAAATACAAAAACTTCACAACAGTCTGGAAAGTTTTTTATCTGCTCATTGGTACCACGAAAAATTGGAATTAATATATGCAATTAGCATATCCATAGAGAAAACACTTATGGAACTTAACAAAAGGTTAGATAGAAACTTAAACATAGAAAAATATTGAATAATTTCAAAATCAAATAAAAATCAAATATTAAATGTTAATTTAAAGGGAAATAGTTTAAGGATTATTGTTC